AGCTTGGGGCTGTGGCTGCCCCAGCCTGGCCCCTGCCTTTGCTTGCAGAAAGTTTCAGTAACAGCACAAGAAATAGCCCCTAAAAACACCATTTGGCCAGCGTTTCAGGAGGGGGGTGTTTGCCCTGAAGTTCCCTGGCAAAGCCCAGGCTGGTCCAAGGGTCTTGCCCATCCCCACTGGGGGTTCAGCCGCATCCTGATGATGCCGGCCATGGGTTCGGCGCTGCTGGGTCTCAGCATCAGCGGGAGATAACCCACCCGGCAGAAGCTGGATGCCGTTGCCAACCACACAAGCTCCCTTTGCTGCAGCATAAACTTTATTCTCCCTTTCCTCCTGCCTGTCCCTCCCCCTCCTCCCTGCTTCCAAACAGGCAAGTACCAGGTTTTCAGCATCCCTCTAACACCCGGGGCTCCCCCGGCACAGCAGCCAGCCCCCGCCCCAGCCGGTGGGATGCTCTCATCTGGCAACCAAGCGGCGCCGAGCCGTGCTGCCTGCTGGCTTTCCAGTGGGTTGTGCCAGGATTTGGGGGTAACCAGCCAGGAGAAATGCCTTTGAAGTCAAAGAGGAATTTTGCACTTCATCTAGTGAATGCTTTCTATGCTTGTGGAAGAGGAGGGGTTTTTATTTTCTCTCCTTTCTTGGTTTTAAAAGCTGAAGTGTTTCTGGAAATCCAGCTGAAAATTGCTGGTTTGGCAGATGGCTGGCTGCTTTCCTCTGGGTTTTTTGTTTTGTTTTTTTTTTAACTTGGCATCTTTGCTGTGGGGATTGATTTGACACCCACCCTCATGAGCGCTTGGAGCGGGTTGGTGCTGTGTCCATGCCGGGAGAGCATCTTTGGAGATTGGGGCCGGCGCTGAGCACCCTGCGGGGAAGCCAGGGCATGTTGGGCCCCAGGGCTGGCCAGGTCCATGTGCGGCAGTGTCCCCAAGCTGGCATGTCACTAGGGGCAATGCGCCGAGCTCGTTTTGTTGCCCACTGGCTCCCATGGCACAGGCACCGGGTGCCTTTTTCCTGCACCGTCTGGCTTGTCGGCACGTCTCTGTAAGCAGCTGACGGGCAAAAATGTGCTGTGAACCTCTGTCAGGATGAATTGGGCTCACCTCTCAGGAAAAACAAAACAAAAAAGGAAGAAAAGTTCTCTGTAATAAATAACTGATGTTGTGGCACCTTGGTGCTCCTGGCACCTCTGCCTTGCTGCTGCCTGGGAGCTGGTGGCCCTGTCCTGTGTGGCCCCATGGCTCTGCGGAGGTACCCGGCTGCTTCAGCCCATTGTGTTTATGGCCTTGGCAAGGGGGGGTTTTGCTTGAGTTCAGCTGCAACACCCCCCTCGCCGGTCCCCTCAGTGTCCCCTGGCTGGGCTGGGCTCTGGGGCACCCATGGGTGCTGCTCCATGTCAGCAGGCAGTGCAGAAGGAGGGCCTGCCTGTGGGAGCTGGCACAGCCACAGTGGTTAAATCCTCCTGGCAATGCTTCCTTCCTCATTACTTTCCTGTTGCTAACCCACCGATTTTGCTGCAAATGCTGTTGATTTGCTACAAGTGTTTTCTGGGGCGATTAATGGGAGATGGGGCTGGCAGGGTGCTCCCCAGCTGGCCCGGGATCTCTGGGAGGGGGTGATGGAGTGGGGTCTCAGTGCTCAAGGGTCCCATGCCACTTCACAATATCCAGTTTTCCTGACCCCTTCCCATGTTCCCTTTGGCAGTGGATGTGGGGGCTGTGGGGGACTCGCCCCAGGGCAGCACTGGCTCCCCCCCTTTCCCCGCCAGCGGGGAGGCTCGGGGTGGCAGGAGGTGGCATCGCGTGCTCTCTCGTGCTTCTATCCAGCTGCTGAGCTGTCAAAAAACCCCACCAAAATACATTAAATAACCCATGTGCTGCTTTTTCCCTATGAACCCTTGGATTTGCCATCAGGCTGCTCCGGAGGGTGCAGCGGGGGTTTATTGCCCTGCCTGGGGCTCTGGACTTGCCTGGAAGCCCCAGGTACCATAGACAGGGAAAAGCAGGTTTTCCCCTTTTTTTAAATTAAAAAACCTTTCAACATTTTCATTTTTCACTCTTACATTGGGGGATCTGCAGTGCACCCCATCACTCAGCCCACCAGGGCAGCTGGTTGGGCTGATGCCCGTTGTGCCCCTTCGGGGGGTCTGGAGTACATGGGGTAGGCAGGCAGTGCCGGCGGCCACCCTTGCTGCTCTAATGAGGCTTTCCCTCTAATTAATATTCCCCAGCAAAGCTCAGCTTTTATCTCCGTTGGCATTGATGTGACATCAATGGGAGATGAGGCTTTGAAAGCTGTTTGTTATTTGCGATGTTGCATCTGCGGGAGAGGGAGGTTGAAGAGGGGCGTCCCCAAGCCCAGGTTCAATCCTGCTTCAGTGCCTATTCCCCCCGCTGAGACACACGTGGGGGTGCCATTCGGGCATCCCTGCTTCCAGCCCCTCCGAGAAGGTACATTGGGCAAAATAACAAGGTTTCTGCACCCAGTTGCTTCCCGCATGGGTGGCCAATTCACACCCGAGCACGCAACTAATTCATGCGTGAGCACCCAGTTAGGTCACGTCTGAGCACCCGATTGCACCGTGCTTGGGTGGCCAATTAGTCAACACCTGAGCACCCAATCCGTCAACACCTGAGCACCCAATCTGCTCATGCCTGAGCGGCCGATGAGCTCCTGCCTGAGCATTGCTTTGGGCATAAATGGGCGGGTTTGGGCAGCTGGGGGCTGTAGTGGTGCTGATGAGCGAGGAGGTTGGGAAGGGCCAGGCACTGGTCATGGCTGCTCTGAAAGTGATGGAAAAGCCCCATTGCAACCCAAAACATTGGGGGAGTCTGTGGCACCCCAGTGCAGGCAGACCTGGGGAAGGGTAGGGGTAAGGAGGGCAGGAGAAGGGTGGCTGGAGTCCCGCTGGTGTGAGGAATCCCTCCATGCCTGTCCTGCGCCGTCAAGCCCAGTTCCTCCAGTATTCACTGGTGCAGCCTGTGAGCTGGTGTGGTGAGTTCCCCGAGTCACAACCTCCTCCCTGGGACATTTTGGGGAGCTCACTAGGGTCCCCTTGCACCGGGAGGTGGGTGGAGGGCACATGTTGGGTCCCAGCCATCCTCCTCGCGGGGGCTGGCTGCATCCCACTGGAGCATCCGCAGGCAGCTGGCTCTGCTCCCCGCCCCAGCGTTTGCATTGCACAGATGTTCACGCCATCCAGCTCCAGTAATTCCAATATTCCTGACAAGTGAATTTGCAGCTGAAGCTGGCCAACACTTACTCAAAATGTGCTTTTTTTTTTTTTTTTTCCTTTTTAAACTGACTTTCCATGCAGAGTGGTGCTAGGGACTTGGGGATGGTGCCAGACCGTGGTGCGGGGCTCTGGGGAGGGGGGGGCCATTTGGCTTGGCCACTGCCTCAGTTTCCCCTCCCATGAAAGTGTGTCCTGGCTGTTCCTATCCAAACCATCCACCACCCCAGGGTGGCCCTGGAGCACGTGCCCTGCTTGGCCTCTCCCAGAGCCACCATGTGCTCCAGTTCCTCTTTTGCCAGGATAAACTGGGGATCCTGAACACTGTGTTTCAGGGCAGTGCCCTCCAAAGTGGGGGGACCTCAGAGCCAAGCTAATGGCTCTGCCCTTGGAAGTGGGTTGGTGTTGGGATCCTGCTGGGTGCTGTGGGCAGTCGTGATGGGGAAGTGGAATGAAAATGCTGCCTGCCTCCCCCCCAGAGGGAGAAAACAGAGGCAGGATACAGCTGACCTGTTTAGCACCTATTTTTTACTGGGCAGAGGGGCACGTGCTCTCTCTGGGCCATGCAGGGGAATTTTCTGCCATTCCCAGGCTGGCTGTTGTGGCCACAAGCACTTGCCGAGACGTTTTAGGGACCATCATCCCCATGTGATGCTCAGCTGCGGCTGCAGACCGATGCTTTTAACCAGCTTTGATGCTTGGAGATGTTCCCCTCCTGCCTGGCAGTGCTGCAGCAATCTCATCCATTTCTCATGGGACTGTCACCCTTGGCCACCACTGGGAAGGATGGGAAGGGACGGCTGGAGGCCCTGCAGCACTCGCGGCGTGGTGGGAGGGCAGCAGGAGGCCATCTGTGCTTATTAAGGGTTATGCAATAGACACTTGGCCATTACACGGCTATTAATCCTCCTTTAATATGGTTTCGGTATTTACTGACCGCGGTAACTATTGCATTAAATTGAAATTAAATGTGTATTTTGGAAGCTTTACAGAAAGATGGAGGAGGGTATCTGGGGAGGTGGGTGCAGGTTTGTGGGTGCCTGGGTGGGAGGGGGGTTTTTGGGGTGCACAGAGGGACTAGGACCCCAGTGGGTCTCGAATGGCCTCGCCACCAGCACGGGGATGTCCCCCAGGTGCTGTGCCAGGCTGTCCATCCAAGTGAGGTGTTGGTGGCATCTCCGGTGCCTTCGGCACTTTCTGAGCTGTTGAATTATAGGCAAGAGATGCCGAGAGCAAAGCCCTGACGTGGGCTCCCAGGGAGCCTCGGCTGCTCATCAAAGGGGA